GGTTCCACCCTAGCAGCAACTACCGATAAACCGCCTTCTTCAAAGGAAAGATGGTGTGATGGGTAAGGCCTTGGCAAGAAATTGAGGGTTCACTTCTTGATTCTGTTAGACTCCCTGTATGACTAATCTCTTTGTGCCTCAGCACCCTATCCTTAAAATAGGGGCAAGGATACTTCTTTTTCCTCATAAATCCAATTTATTTAGAATATTAAGGGCAGGAGTCTCTCTTATTTTGTATAAGGTCACTGAGGCACTGACCTTCATTGGGCTTGTAAGCACAATCTAAATGTTCTTTAACTTCTATGTCATTAATAGGCCTTTCCTGTCCCTTAATCATTCTTATACCTCTTCTGTGAACTCCTACCAGTTTGTATCAGTGGTTTTCAACCTTTTTTCATTTGTGGACCCCTAAAATATTTTGAATGGAGGCATCACTCTTTAGAAATCTTAGACCCAGTCAGCAGACCCCAGTGGTCGATGGCCCAGAATTTGAAAAGCACTGGGCTATATCATTCTGGTGAGCAGAACTGAAATCTGTATTGAAGTTGAAAACCCATACTGGGAACCAGGGGCTGTAAATTTAAGAACAAGAACAACAATGTTTAATTATTGATATTATCAACTTTATATTCTCTGGGTTTCATTCACTGTATCACAATTTTCTCTCCTCCGATCACTAATAATATGCATTAAAAAAAACTGCAACCCACTGGAGTGGTGAATGTAAGAGACAGTCAGTTCCAAATTGCATCATTCAATGTTCATGTTAAAAACGTATAAAACCTGGAAATGTACAACCCAAGCCCCATAATATAATACTCCATTATTTGATAAAATTAAAGCTAGCTGTTTCTACCTACCTGGGTATGCAAAGCTAGGATGAGAAAGGTTAGGTGATGAATTCTTTACTTCCCGATTTATCACTCACCTGCTTTTTAATCAGAATACTACAGGTTGGCCCTCCCTGGTCCAACATCCTTGGGGTCGGACCGGTCCCAAACCACGGAATTTGCCAGAGCAGGGGAGATCCCCTGCCACTGGCCTCCCCAGTCTGCCAATCATCAGCATTGCCAGCGCCATTGTCTAGCTATCCCCCCTGTCTCTGGCTCCCACTATCTCGGGCCCTAGCTGGGCTGCCTGCTGGGTTGCTGGACCTGCTGCCATGGGCCTGGCTGGACTGCCTGCTGACCTACTGTGGGTCTGTCCCTGTGCTGCCATAGGTCCAACCCCAGCCCCACTGCCACTTGCTGCCATGGATCCAACCCCAATGCTGTGCCAGAGGCTGCTACGGGCTGCCACCAGCTCACACCCTAGCTCTGTGGGACATCCAGAAACATCCATGGTCCAGTTGTTGGTCCAGAGAGGGTTGGTTTTTGGAGGTACAACCTGTACTGATAAAATAACTCAGTCACAGATTAATATGCCAATGCATTTATTGCATATTAGCTTGGCATATTAAGTCTCTTGCATAACCCAAGACAATATACTTCAGACCTAAAAAGACCTTTTTGGCTGACAATTAGCCACAGAAACAATTTGAAAGGTTGAAGTGTTTGAAACCTCTATCGATATATACAGTATCTTTCAAAAATATACAGCATTAACCACTAATGTAACCTACTGAGACTCACTAAAAACACAGTGATAGATGGGAAGGACAGCTAAGGTTACAGGTAAATGAGATGCTTTGCCCCATTGTAATGAAGTTTCTGCTCCTGTCTGAGAAGTGCTTGCCTAAAAGAATTAAATTATTGCTTGCTGTTATTTTATTACCAGATTTTCACAAGTACTTAGCACCAGTTCTCATTCATCTGCCTGAGGTCATGTTTCATGTCACTTTTTTATATATGGAGTTGCCTTTAAGTTATCCCTTCCCAGAATCCTGTTAGATGGCTATTCTGCCAGGGCATATGTGAAAATCCTCTCTTCCACAACTTGCAGCAACAGAAAGCCTTTGTCTGACTCAGAAAAATGAGATTAATCTTATCTCTTTCTTTTCCAAATAATGTTGATTTTAGTTTAATTATCTGTTCAGAGAGTGATATGTAATCAGAGCACTGATTTCTGATAGGAGGTATATAGCTATTTTTAGGCGGTTGGCTCTGAAAAGCAGTCTAGACATGTACCAATCCAGTGCTTGATCCTCTATCTGTTTACTCTGACTCTTACCACCTCTGGGAAAATTGGAAAAACATCCAACAACAGAACCATTGAATTTTTTTTCCCCAACATCTGTCACCTATTTGATGTAAAGCAAATAGGACAGATTCTGACTCATTCAGATTCATAGAGTTTAAGGCCAAAAGGATCATCTAATTTGACCTGTTGTATACCACGACACCAAGAGACTGAGATCAAAACCTGTCCCCTAGTATTTAACGTGGATTTTTACTTTGAAAAGGGGAAATAATATAAAAAGGCATCTTCTTATTCAACAGTGGCTGGAAATTAGTGGACAAATTGTCAAAAAAAAATACTGATTCATCCTTCCAAACAAAAACACAGAGAAACAATTTTCGGACTTGACAAAAATATCAAGATCAAAACATTTTAGCAATTTGAAACTATGGTTTTGACAATTTCTAAATGAAAATATCAGTTTTCCTGTGTGAAACAGCTTTTTTGCTTGAAAGCCTAAGCTAACTAGATTTTACCAACACAAAATTTTCAATTGGTCTGAAATGCACAAAACATACAGTTTTTTCGGTTTGCCAATATTTTCAAGATTTTAATTTTTCATCTCAATTTAAGATGGGAAAATCTTTTAGATCCTCAAATATATTCACAGAATGGAAAAGCTGTTTCACCCAGCTTTAGCCAACATGTCTGGTGTGTTTGTGCATTCGGAGTCAGAGTTCCAGAGCTCTCTGCAGTTAAGAGAGTGAACACAATTCTATTCCTTCCCGTGCAACATGGAATTGTTCCCAAGAGGATCAGCTGACATGGGATTGCAGGGATTGGGTTACATGACTGTAAAACTGCAGTAAAAATGGTCAACCCCGGGCTCTGGAGCTCTCTGGACCTGAATGTTTACACCGCAGTATTTCAGCCCTGCAATCCGAGTCAACTGATTTGGGCTAGTCACGGGTGTTTAATTGCAGTGTAGATATGTCCTACATTCCAATTAGTTATGCCTCTGCAATCTCTTTGAAGGCAAACTTGGTACTTGGCTGGCAGAACTTCCCAACAATTAACCAGAGTGAAATCCTTCCCCTTACTTTATTCCAATCCACGGGTTTGCCAGCCATCTCATTCTAGGACTCATTCCGTGGGCAAAGTCTTCACCCCAGATCCTTAAGGACATTCATTCACCTAACTCTTATTGAAATCAAGGATAAGAGGTTACATTTCTGATATTTGTTCCATTGAAGAGAAGATCCTCAGGAACAAAAAATAAGTTTCATCACACTGTAGCGGGTTCAACTCACTTTCCGCATGGCTCCTTCCCTCAGGGTGGCTTTTGGGGAAGTAACCGGCTGCTCCGACACCGACGTGCCCCCTTCGGGTGAGGTGCTCTCTTCAGCACTCTGCCCTCTGGCAGTGACCACTCCAATCTAGGTCCATGCCCCCATCCAGGGGGAGGCGGGGAGTCATTGTTCTTCCTCCGCTCCTCCTCCAGGGTCCTCCCTACTCCCTAGGACCCCCAGTTCTTCTCCCACTCTGCCTGCCCGGTTGCCTCCTGCAACCCTGCCTTGCAGACTTCTGGCTTGGGGCTTCCCTGGCTCAAACTCCCCCAGCCTACCGCAGCTGCCTCCTTGCAGCCCGGCCTTTTACAGCTGCCTTCATGCGAGCCCCGCCCTCCACAACTGCCTCCTTGCAGCTCTGGGCTTCAGGCTGGGTAGCCTGGGTTTGCTAGGCCGAAGCCTCTCTCACTGCTGGCAGGTCTCTGTCCTCCTCCCAGGAGCTACTCTGTATGGCCTCTAGCTGGGCCCTTGTTAGCTGCTTCAGTTGGGCTTCCTCCTGACTCCAGGTCTCAGTCCCTTAAAGGGAGAGTACAGGGCAATGTCCTGCCACAATACATTTATGAATATCATCAGGTTGTGATCAGGAATCTTTCCATGTGAACACTCTAGAAAAAAGAATGATAAAGATGAGGTCTTATTACAAATCTTTCCACAATGGTTAAATGGTTTTCCACCGCTGTTTATATGTCCTGCCTGGTAATCTAAGCAGCCACTTCCTGTTATTAATCTTTCTTTACAATAAGGTAAATAAAAAGACAAATTTCTGCCTGAGCTTGGCATCTCAACAGTCATTTTTTCCACCAGAATGAGGCCAAGTAAAAGAGGAAAATGGAATGCTATAAAATACAAAGGTAGATGAAATGTTGAAGAACTGAGGTCCACACATGAAAAAGGGATTTCAGAAGTGCAACTATAAACCAGAAGTACAGAGGAATGAGTGCAGAGAGAGGGTTAATGTAAATACCTACAGGACAGTATGCTAATGAAAACAGACATACAGACAGGAGAGGAATCCAATACAGAATGCTTTATAGATTGAAGAAAATATCAGCATCTGTTCCAAATCAGAACAGAATTAATTGGCTGGAAAGCTACAAATGGGTCATGCCAGCTAATGCCTATGTCAAGATATATAATTTTGTGGTTAGTTTCAAAGAGATTTTAAAAATCTTTTTATTCTGGGCAACTTAAGCCACTGGAGACCCAGAAAGGAAGTACATTCTGATAACATGCAGTATACTAAAAAGAGTCAGCCTGAAATGAAAGATGTTGTGAATACACTATTTAACTTGAAACACCTGAAAAATTTCACTGACTTCAATGGGACTAAATGCACACTTAAAAACATACATGAATATTTGCATGACCCAGGTAATGGCACTAATTTTGCATGCCCTGGGCTGATCTGTATGTTACATAAGCTTCGATGGGCATTCTGAATGTAGAAGGCTCATTAGGCTGGCCTTGCAACATGTACTCACATTCACTTCCTCCTAACTGTGAAGACCTTTATCTAAAGAAAAAAAACTAACAGGCTTAACTTAGATTCTTTATTTAAAACAGATTTATAAAAATGTACATACATAGAATGTTAAAAATACACACGGGTAGAAATATCTTTATAAGCATTCATTATTCTGTTAAATGCTTAATTGCACAATACTGTCACAGTTTAAATTGCTCTGTTATGTTGTGCAGTTCGCAGATGTGTGAAATCGTTAGGGTCACTACCCTTATATCTGCTTCTTAATGCAACAACCTGCTCTTTGGGACCAGAATTTACATTGTGCAACAAACTGGTGCCACTCATTACAATCATTTCTCATCAGAAATTCTTACATGACAGAAAACTCTATATCTTGTAAATGAATTAGTCTCACTTAAATTCAAATTTCTTCTTGTACATTTAGTAAAGTGGGGTGATCTGTTTCCCATTTTAAAGCCCAGTGTCATACATCTGGGCATTAGATTGGTAGAAGAAGGACTGTATAGTACTGACATGCCAGTAACAATCTTGGTTCAGTTTCTTTCCTTGAGTTCTGCAAAGCCATGTCATGCAAGCAAAAGATGGCAAAAGAGGAGTGAAACTTAGGCTGGAATGCAGCAGTTGAGCATGTACCAAACTTTAAGCATCTGTGCAGTCCCAGTGAAGTCAATGAGACTATTCAGATGCTTAAACTTATTAAAGTGCTAAAGTGTTTTACTGGATAGTTTTGTGCAAAGCAAATACACTGAAATAATTTTCCAAAACAACCTAAAAGATACATTGGCAGGTTTTTTTGTTTTGCAAGTATAAGCTAGGAGGAAATAGGCTAATGGTAACATAGCTTTCAAGCTAGGAGGAAATAGGCTAATGGTAACATAGGAAAGCTATGTCAACTTGTGGAAGAATGTGACCTTGGTTTCTCGCGGGAGAATGGCAGCATCTTTCTTCTCAAATCAGGCATCATAGGAAAAAAAAAGAAGGCTAAATGGAATTCTTGGATACTTCAATTCCTCCCCATGCACATGTCCTTTGGGAAGTAAATTCTTCCTTCTGCTCAGTAGGTTCCATCTTCCAGTCTCTAAAATGCTTCTCCATCATGCTTCTAGCTCTCCAATCACCAACATTTACAGTGGGGATGATTTTCTGTGGCTTCAGCCATTGGACAAATCGTTTCATTTCTAGGTAACTGCTATGTTCACTGTAAGGAATCCCTGTGGCAAAACAATGCAAAGGTACTTCAAGCAGTGTGCTTAACAGTAGGTTTCCTGAAAATATTTTGTTCAAGAAGCAAAGAAATATTTTAAAAGAATATATTTTATTTAAAATGAAGATTTACATTTTACTCCAAGGATCAAGTGAAAATCCAGACTGGAAGGATTAACTAGTATTTCTCTACAGTGTCAATCATTTGTGCAAATCTGATGACTTAAGCTACTTGGTTGACTGACAAGTGATAAGATTGTCTAGGAGACCAAACTCCATCCATAAAATTGTTTGCTCCAATAAGAACAGAGGAAACAAGCTGGTATCTATGGAAGCTCTGCAGCAGTAGCAGGGTCTTTCACATGAAACCATACATGCAGTGAAATCCTGGCTCTGGTGAAATCCCTGGAGAAACTCCTATTGAGTTCAATGGCAAAAGCATTTTACACATATTGTCTGTGTTTGTCTTAAAGCCATCAGACCAAACTTTCTTTTTTTGGGGTGGAGAGGGAGGCTTTAGAGGAAAGAGTATTTAAAATATGTATTTACAGTGTTTTAGATTGGCCAGTTCTTAGATTTAAGATGGAGACATCTATCTGCTCAGCTTCTTAGCAAAGCTGATATTAATAAGTGTATGATATGATGAACAGTAAGAGGTGTTAGACTAAAAGATATACAAGCAATCCACACAGAATTAAGTATACTGAGCCATTTATAGTACTTGTACCATATATGGTGATCTTTCCCCTGGTCTGAGGTTTGATAACTGCATGACATGAATTGGAGTAAGTCCATCCAGTGGGCCTGAAAGCCAGAACTTGGTCAAACTTCTCCGAGAACTTGTTTAAATGGTTTTGCAAGCCCTGTTAATAGAAGACATTAATGAAGACTATTGAACACCACTACCATCACATTGATCCAATGTCTAAAAGGGTTTTGGTGAAAGGGATAATGGGGATAAAGCTTTATTTCTGAACAACATTTAAATGGGCTCTTCCTCCCTCCCACTTTTTTTGTTTTACATACCAGCTACCTAAACAACAGTTACGATCAAAACTTTACACTTAAACAGAACTTTTCAGCTAAGGATCTCAAAATGTTCTACAATACAAACAAACATTATTAGCTTTGTGTTACAGATGCTCAGAGAAAGTAAGTGAACACATAAAACAACACAGCAAGACACTTCCTGCGATATGTATAGGGACTGTCTTGCTCCGACCACTAGACTGTGCTACCAACAACCTAACTGAACATGACCGGAGGAAATAGTTTCACTTCTTCCATCTTAACAGACTCCAAAGACCTGACCTGAACATCTCAGGAGGTGCCTGAGGCAGCCTTCAATTTTGTTCATAGGATAGCAAAAGAATAAGGGTAACAGAGAAAGAGGAAGAAGTGTAAGGAATCTTCAGGTCTACATTAGGATAAAGAGAACTCAGAAATAGGAAATCAGTTTCACATGTGTCCTTTAGATGTATCAAAAACACCTTATCCATTTGAAAACCTCACACAATTTGCTATTTCAGAACAGTTAAAAACAGGTCAGGAGTAGGAAGAAGAACACAAGATAAATAATGACTACTTAATAAAGAAGAGAAATTAATTGTGATTTAGCACCAACTGAACCCACAGTCGCCACAGAATTTAGGGAAAGGGAAGTTAAATGCTGCCTACAATAGCGGCATGGTTCCAGTGTAAATTCGAGAGTAATATTCAGAACTCCTAAGACAAGCACTTTTGGAAAATAAAAGAACCGTAAATAAATGTGTGTACAGTTTATTCAGTAATGGGAGCTATGACCATTCTTCAAAGACTCCATTTACCTAGCACAGCGGAAAAGGTTAGGTTTCATTAAGATGGCAATAATAAGCCTAAAAAGACTCTCTCTGCCCAACATGATTAATTTTTAAAGAGACTGACATTTCTTACTGCAACTCTTCATAAGATAATACACATACATTATACTTGCTCCTCCTGTCTTAATAAAAACCAAGGACAGTACATGAAGTTCCAGGAGGACAATTATGAGATGAACTAAATTCGGTAGAACAATTATGAAATTAGCCTGTTCTTGGATTTTGTTATGAGTTTACTAATCAGGTACACAATGTTAATTTTTACGGGTAGAATTTTCAGTCCAGCTGAAAGTCAGCTGTGCTTCTAAATCACAAAGGTCATGTCTACATTTCAATGAGACACCGATGGCTGGCTGGTCTGTGCTAGCTAACCTGGGCTCATAGGGCTTAGGCTATGGGGCTGTTTTATGTCTGGACTTGGGCTGCAGTCCTAACTCTGGGGTCTTTTCTCCTCACCCAGTCCTAAAGCCTGGGCTCCAGCTGGCACAGGCCAGCTGTGGGTTGTTGACTGCCATGTAGGCATATCCTTAGGCTCTTCTAAAAATCCCACCCTAAAGCTTGTATATTACACCAGCACCCCATTGTGCTATGTTGTGGATAGAACACATGCAAAGAGACAGTTGCTTGCCCTGCAAAGCTTTCGCACTATGAGTTTAAATGACAAAAGTCCCATGATTTCACTATTACAAACAGATGTTTGTGTAAGGCACGGGGAATTCTTTTAATGTTAATATTTTTAGGGAAAAGAAGGCTTCCTTCCTACAGGAACATGGGTAACTTCAGAGCTTCTTCATAAAGAGTTAAAGAAGAAACATATTCAGTATTGCTCCAAAACTTCCATCCTTTTAAAACAGAAAATAGAATTCATTCCTCTATCACTATTCCTCTATCAACATCCTTATATCATCAAGACAGCCTATTACCTACTATTTTGATGAAGTCAGCAGCAGTCTGAGCAAATGGATCCCATACCATATGTGAATGCTCTAACAAGATTAAATGGTTAATTTACAATCAGCTCTCATAGCACTTTTATACAGCTTGCTTATTCAAGAGCAGCTATTCATCAGTATTTAAATGATCCCAGCATTTTTTTTTTAGTTAAACTAAGCATGCCACTGAAGTAATCAGTCTCTTTGAATTACCACTTTTTTGCCCTTCCTTTTCACATAGCAAATCCATTTGCATTACTAGAGCAATTAATCTACTTTATTCTTCCTAAGTTTTCAAAACAAAGCATTAAACAGTAAAGGATTTGGAAAAAGGACATCCAGAATGCGATCCAGTAGCCCTTCATCTTGTCTCCACTTGATATAATAATGTCTGCAAGATGGTTTTTTTTTAATATGTACCTTTGATTCCTTTACTGGTCTCAAGAAAATGCTGCAAAATTACTAGATAATATTTGACACCGTCACCCAGTACCAGGCTAAAAGCAGTCATAACTGTAGCAACAGCAGAAAGAGAATATTGATTTGAATCCTGCTGTTTGACCTGGATAACAATCAGGAACGCTATTTACAGTGCAAAAAAGGTGTGCCTGTTTCTCATGATAACAAAACAACCACCATTCTGGGTCAGACCAAAGGCCCATCTAACCCAGTATCCTGTTTTCTGACCATGGCCAATGCCAGATGCTCCAGAGGGAATGAACAAAAACAGGTAATCATCAAGCACGCCCCCTCCTATCATCCATTTCCAGCCCCTAAAAAAAACAAAAGCTAACAACACCATTCCTACCCATTTTGGCAAATAAGTATTGATGAACCTAACCTCCGTGAATATATTTAGTGCTTTCTTGAACCCTGTTAAAGTCCTGATCTTCACAACCTCCTCTGCAAATGAGTTCCACAGGTTAACTGTGTGCCGCATGAAGAAAAACTTCCTTTTGTTTGTTTTAAACCTGCAACTTACTAATTTTGTCTGATGACCCCCTAGTTCTTATGTTATGGAACAAGTAAATAACTTTTCCCTATTAACTTTTTCCATACCTGTTATGATTTTATAGATCTCTATCATATGGAGATAGGTGTGGGTTTGTTTCTTTTGGTACATTCTTTGATGCAATGTGACTTGCCCCTCCTGACTCAGCTTGGAGGATTTCATGAGAACTGTTAGTCAATATATGTAAAGCTTTGAAGAGAAAAAGTTATACATACTCTCTAATGGGGCAATTAGAGTCCCCACCTTCAAAGATGTAATGGTCATTAATGCAGATCTGTTGTACAAAGTATGGACCCACGCATGGAGAGAGATACACGCCTTCTGTGCAGCACAGAGATTAGCTGACAAGCATGGAGCCCAGAGAAGGATGGGAACATGGCAAGGATATGCTTTGGGTGCACTAGAGCCGCAGAAGCCTACTTTGATCCTCAGCCCTGTTATTGAAATATCTAGTGCCCAGCCTGCTATCTGGCCTATTATTATTAGGTCATAATGATAAATTAACTAGTAATGAATCTTAAAGAGTATTGGTGTTTGTCAGCTTTAGTTCGAAGATGCAGATGTTGATATTAAAAACAAATCTTAAAAATCTGGTCACTGTTTAGGAAAAGGGAGAGAGATTTCAGTGTTTTTTTATAATTTGCCAACTGACTAGATTAGGTATGTCTACATTACCCTCCTAGTTCGAACTAGGAGGGTAATGTAGGCATCCCGTACTTGCAAATGAAGCCCGGGATTTGAATTTCCCGGGCTTCATTTGCATAAGCGGGGAGCCGCCATTTTTAAAACCCCGCTGGGTCGAACCCCGTGCAGCGCGGCTACACGGGGCACGACCTAGGTAGTTCGAACTAGGCTTCCTAGTTCGAACTACCGTTACTCCTCATTTCACGAGGCGTTCGAACCAGCGCTGCACGGGGTTCGAACCAGCGGGGTTTTAAAAATGGCGGCTCCCCGCTTATGCAAATGAAGCCCGGGAAATTCAAATCCCGGGCTTCATTTGCAAGTACGGTATGCCTACATTACCCTCCTAGTTCGAACTAGGAGGGTAGTGTAGACATACCCTTAGTGAGGTCCTTTGCTGAATCAATATAACACCTCTAAGCCCTACATGGAGAGCTAAACTACATATTGCTAAATAATCAAGTAACTTGTTCCAAAATAACAAAGAGAACCTGCTTTGATTTTGCTCTTGGAGACCAATATAAGAAGGAGCAGAGGCCAAATAAACTGAAATCTGGAATTAAGAAGATGTTCTTAGTTAAAAGAGTAAGAAAAACCAGACCTATGACATACATGCTTCTGACCTCTTTAGTTTGGGAATGTGGGAGAGTATATAAAAGGGAAGATACAGGAGAGAATACAAAAATGCTAGGGAATAATTTGAGATTACAGTTGAGGAATGAAGAGAGCATGAGTAAGATTTACAAAGAGCCGCTACAAAATATCAGTAAATTTATTTAAAAAACCCTGAAATATTAGTTGTCCATACAATTATATTTAAAACAAAGTATATTTCTAGTAAGTCTGTGGAATTTTAGTGGAAGGCTGGCATTTTGGAAGGAAGTGAATGTGCCACTGATCACTACAGAACTGCAAGTGAAGAAGGAAGTCAGTGAATGCAAGACTTTCGTAACACTGAGCTCATTTTTGTTAACCCTCTCCAGCCACCAACTCATGGATAACTTTGTTCCAGGCAAATTTTAAAATATTTGCTGTATGAGCAGAAGCAAAAACTGAGTCAACTGGATGGAAATGAAAGCCAAAACCATCTGGATTTATCTAAGGAACCTCCAGCTGTGGAAACATTCCTCATGAATGCATAGTTTTATCTAGGAATGTAAGAGAGTAGTTGATTAGTCCTATTAGGCCCACCGTGGCTGCCTCTATATCAGAGGAAGCCAGTGGGGGGTGGGGAAGGGAAGGCTGCTCTGGCTGCAAGCCCTGTCCGCGAGGGGGGGAAAGAAGAGTCTCAGAGGGGAGTTGGGACTACCTGCAGACAGAGGCTGCTGCTGGCTGGGCAGGCAGCCGGGCTCAGCCCCAGTTTGCACCAGGACTAAATC